GTGCAGGGATGGGCAGGTTAGGGTGGATTGGCCGTGCTAAATTGCCCCATAGAGTGCAGGGATGGGCAGGTTAGGGTGGATTGGCCATGGGGAATGCAGGGATAGGGTAGGAGGGGGTGGGATGGCCTTACTCGATGGGCCGAATGGCCTGCTTCCACACAGTCGGGATTCTACAATTCTAGTGATTATGTTTTAACCCTCTCCCATCTGTTGTTTGACGTGGTTAATTTCTCGGCCGAAGCGTCCCACCGTGGGAGTCTGCAAGGTTGTTTTCTGAGCCTCTTCTAATGAGCCATCGTGTTTGGTTTTTTTTTCTCTCTCTCTCTCTTTTTGACACGCTGGCTCCTGTCACACAAAAAGACCCGCGAGGAGTGGCAGTATGTCTTCCTGATCGCCTCCCTGGTTCACTACGCCGGGGTGATATTCTACGGCATCTTCGCGTCGGGGGAGAAGCAGCCCTGGGCGGAACCCGAGGAGCTCAGCGATGAGAAATGCGGCTTCATGTACGAAGACGAGCTGGCGGCCGAGGTGGAGGATGGCTACGGGAGCTACGGTACCACGGGTACCACCAACATCACCAACGGTGGATGGACCAGCGAGTGGGATAAGAAAGAGGAGTTCGTCCAGGAGCAGGGCAAAGATGCGTACATGTACGGCAGTGTCCAAGACAGAGACTTATCCTGAGCTGGGGCTGGGTCTTAGGGCTTAGGGGTGGGGAGACACAGCTCACACAATAATACACCAAGCCCCCCTCCCCTCCCCATTATCAACTGAAACTTCCGCGGGCATTGAGTCTTGTGGAGGAGGCATGGTAGAAACTAATGTATATAAATAGCCAATTGTTTAAAGGGGAACTTCACCTTATTTTTCACCCCATGTAAGGTTTGAAAGGCCCTCTATTCCAATGACTTTGTGTGTGTGTGTGTGTGTGTGTGTGTGTTTGCACAGCCAAGAAAGACTGCTTGTGGGAGTAATTTGTTCCTTATTAACGTGCCAGGCCACTTTCAGCTGAAAGCTCCGTTTGTCTCTCTCCATTGATTCATAACATACCCCTTCCTGTCCTAACTGCTTCTCCCCTGTATTTAATTCCCTTCGTTGTTCTGGGTGGGAGGTGGAAGAGGACAGGGATTAGCGATTGCAAAAGGAGGGATGGCGTTAAGCAAGAGGCAGGGACAGAAATCACACGGTCTGGCCCAAGTCAAGTGTTTAAAGGGGGAACTCCACCTTACTTTGCATCCCAAGCAAGGTAAAAGACCCTCATTCTAATGACGTGTGTGTGTGTGTGTGTGTGTGTGTGTGTGTGTGTGAAAGAGAGTCTGTGTGACTGTGTGTGAGAGAGAGACTGTGTGTGGGTGTGGATGTGTGTGACTATGTATGGGTATTGGTGTGGGTGTATGTGACTCTGTGTGTGTGAGACTGTGCGTGTGTGTGGGTGTGTGTGACTGTGCGTGTGTGTGGGTGTGTGTGACTGTGCATGTGTGTTTACACAGGTTGAGAAACTGGAAGATGATGACATAGTGATATTGCTGTTCGACTATTAACCTAGTGATCCAGGTACTGCTCTGGGGTCCACGTTCAAACCCTGCCATGGTGGATTTGAATTTGATTTCTTAAAAACAAAAAGTCTAATGATGATCAGGAAATTGTTGGAAAAATCCGCTCGCTAATGCCCTTTAAGGAAGGAAATCTGTCATCCTTACCTAGTCTGACTCCAGACCCACAGCAATGTGGTTGATTCTTACCTGCCCTCTGGGCAATTGGGAATCTGCAGAAGTGCAGCCCACATCCTGAGAGTGAATTTTTGAAAAAAAGCACAGAGGCCCTGCCCCCAGCCCTCAGCCCGAGGTCAGTGGCCTCTCCTGCACCCCAGTGAGTGAGCCCTGATGTACCTCCCAGGTAGTTGTGGCAATGGAGATGGAGCAATCAAAGCTGATTCACATGCAACACTGCCAGCACACCTCCCGATTAAGGACACTCCATCCCCCCACCCCTCTCTAGAAATGAGGGCAAGTGTTGAAGTGAAGTACATGGTTTCTTTGCCCACCCCATCCCCTGAAACCCACTGTGACCTCCCCTTACAAGGGAAATTGGGCTCTCCAAGACCTACACTTGCTGCCCTGTCCATTGTGGCTGATGCCATGGTTTCCTCTTCTGTTTTTTATTCACATTTGTTCAAAGGGCACAGGCCAGTCCGTCATTTGTTGCCTACCCCTTTATTACCCTTGAGAATGTAGTGGGGAGGCTCCTGTACTCGAACTACAGCAGACCACATACAACCCCACAGTGCTGTTGTAGAAGCAATGCCAGGATTTTGACTGAGTGTGTTTTCTCACAAAGTAAAGGTTTGGGAAACTCCACTGAGCAGACAGCGCTGCTGTTTTTACATTCACAGTGAGATGAAAGGAACAGCGCTATGGACACACGTTACACTGTCCATCACTTCTCTCCCCTTTCTCCTAACACCGTGACAGGGAAGGAGATCGTGCTGTGCTACGGAGAAGATCTCTCTGTTAATCTTTCATGGGATGTGGGAAGGTAGATGTGACCTTCAGTCCAGTGTAGGTACACTTTTGCTGTGTAGGGAATTTGAGTTGAACTGATAGCTGATGATGACTGATACCTCCAAGTACCTGGGGGCCAATATTGGGGACCAAATTTCCCTTGCAATTAGACATTATAACGGACAGGGACTTTGAGAGTGTATGTATATGACTGTACGTTTGTGTATGTTTGTTCCTTTTCATTTAAGTTCTCTCATTCCCCCATGGATACCTGACTCCCTAACTCTGCCTCCTCCCACATTAAGAGGCTAATGTCTTAAATACTAAATGACCACAACGTAAATCTCCTGTGTGTTCCACATTCCAGAGTAGGCATGAGACGTCACTGTTGCTGGACCCTCCAGTGAATCAGTCCCAGTGCTGCCTCCAATGTTAGAACTGGGATCTACCAGTAAATGGCATGGTGGCTCAGTGGTTAGTGCTGTTGCCTCACAGCGGTAGGAACCCAGGTTCAATTCACAGCCTTGGGTGACGGTCTGTTTGTAGTTTGCACATTCTCCCTGTGTCTGTGTGAGTTTCCTCCCACAGTCCAAAGATGTGCAAGTTGGGTGGATTGGCCATGCTAAATTGCCCGTAGTTTCCAGGGATGTGTAGACTAGAAGGATTAGCTACGGGAAAAGTGAGTTTACAGGCATAGGATGAGATAAGGGTCAGTGTGAACTCAGCAGGCCAAATGGTTTGCTTTCACACAGTAGGGATTCAATGATTTCTATTGTCCCTTGTCATGCCACAGTGTCTAACAGACTTCCAGACAGAGGCTCCTGCCTATCAACTCACCATGCCGCTGTGCAACAACTTATTTTTATACGGCACCTTCCACTTATTTAAAGGTCCCTTAAAAGCAGGAGTGTTGTAAAACAAGTATGATGCTGAGCCTCTTAAGGAGATTAAGTCAGATGTGCAAATAGCTTGGTCAAAGAGGTAGACTTTAAGAAATATCTTAAAGGGGTAACACAAGGTGGAGATGTTTCGGTGAGGATTCCAGAGCATATGGCCCAGGCACCTGCAGTTACCAAGGGTGGAGCAATTAAAATATGACAAGCTTGGGAGGTTGGAATTTTAGGAGTGCAGACATCTTGTAGGTTTGTAGGGCTGGAGGGAGATTACAGAATGAGAGAGAGGTGAGGCCATGAAGTAATTGGTAAACAAGATTGACAAGGGTTCACTAATGTCCTTCAGGGAAGGAAATCTGCCCTCCTCACTTGGCCTGGCCTGCATGTGACTCCAGACCCTAAGCAATGTGGCTGACTCTCGACTGTCCTCTGGGCAATTGGGGATAGGCAATGAATGCTGGCCCGGCCAGGGGCATCCACATCCTGTGAATGAATAAAAACAACTTCAAAATCAAAATATTGCTTGAGATTGAGCCAAAGTTAGCCAGTGAGCACTGTCGGTGAGAAGTAAGTGGGGCTCAGTGTAAGTTAAGACAGGGCAGAGTTTAAGGTAACCTCACATTTGTAGAGGATAAGATGTGGCAGATCCACCCCAAGAACATTTGAAATAAACCTAACTGCTGTATTGTGCAGGGAAAGGGGGAAGTTGGGGGTGGCATTTCTCTATATTGTTTCATAGACTCAGGATATTCCAACATGTTCCATGGCTAAGGAAGTATTGGTGAGTGTAGTCACTTTATCCGAGATATATGAACACTATTCACTAATTCTGTCACGGGAAGTGGATGTCACTAGCTGAACCAGCATCAGTAATGTCCATCCCTAATTGCCCCTTGAGAAGATGGTGGTGAGCTGCTTTTTGAACCGCTGCAGCCCATGTACTGTCGGGACACCCACTACGCTGTTAGGAAGGGATTTCCAGGACTCTGACCCAGTGACAGTGAAGAAACAGCAATATATTTCCAAGTCAGGATGGTGTGTGATTTAGAGAGGAACTTGAAGGGGTGGTGTTCCCATTAATCTGTTGCCCTTGTCCTTAAAGATGGTGATGGTTACAGATTTTGGAAGGTGGTCTCAACTAACCTGGAGACTACAGTGGAACTGGTTAATGACATGTAATATTTATGGAATTCCCACACACACACATCCCAGCCCAATGACCCAACCCACAGTCAGAAGTGCCAGAGAAGCAAGAAGTCAGATTGTTTGACTTCTCAAAGTGCAAATACAAAGGCAACTCATTAGCAGGAGCTTAGAGAGGCGGTCACAGTGGCAGTGGTGATGGCAAAACGGTAATGTCACAGGACTCACCCCAGGTCAATGTTCAAGGAACATTGATTGAATCCAACATGGTCAATGGTGAAATTTGAATTCACTAAGATCTGGAATTAAAAAGTTAGAACAATGATAACCATGAAACTGTTGTTGATTGTGAGAAAAAATCCCATCAGGATCACTAGTTCCCTTTAGGGAAAGAAATCAACCATCCTTACTTTCTGTAGCCTATGTGTGAGTCCAGACCCTCGGCAATATGGCTGATCTTTAAGTGGCCTCTGGGTAATGAGAGATGGACATTGAATGCTGGCCCAGCCAGCAACGGCCAAATCCAATGAAACAAATAAAACAAAACAAGTCAAGGAGAGTTTTTCAGAAGTTCCTCAGAGAAGCAAACATCCCATTCTCCAAAGTAACAAGAGCCCAGAAAGTCAGCTTGAAACACCTAAACCAAGGGAATAAAACTCACATCGAAGAAGATCGAACAAAACGTTTGACAGTGAAGGAGGAGAAGAACACACAAAGGGGGAAATGTAACGAGAGAACGGTGTGAGAGGCACAGCAATAAACATAAAAGGAATTCAAACTGCCTGTTAGCAGAGTATACCACCAGCTACCATCCCAACCAACCTGCCAACGAATGCCATCCCCAAGCGGTATCAAAACAAATCATAAATGTTTATTCCAGTTCAGGGTTTTAATTGAACAAAGTTGGGTTCAATAGAATTGAGATTCAGATCAGCTGAGAACCGATTCAATAGAGGAACAGGCTGAAAGAGCCGAATGGTCTCCTTCTGATCCTGGTAGAAACAGAATCCTGGTTCACTGCTACCCTCCTCCCTCTTCGCCCTCCTCATTGTATTTTGGCCTCAGCTGAAATGCCATTGCTCTGTGTATGCCGCTTTGCACTCACCAAATCCCTCCCCCACCCCTTCTCCCACATCACACGTCCCCC